GTTATAAAACGCCTAACACAAGTGTCCAAACAAATTTACAAATGTGCGCATCGTATGTCCACCATATGCTGAGTTGACCCTTCCACCATGACTGCTAGTGTACCTCTTTATATCTAACTTTGTCTCCCCCAAATACCCACTCAAGTCAGCCGGCTTATTTGTCCAAAGATCTGGCGCCCAATTTTTTTAAAAAAAAATAGACTATCAATCTAAGTTATTCGAAGCTAAAGTATGAAGTATGATCATATCACACTGTTGCTGAGTATCACTCATCCATCATGCACGTCGGTTTGAAGACAGTGTGCTTAATCGGATGTCAAAAGATGGGCAATAGGAATTTCCGGTTTCTTCGGTCTAACGACAATCGAACGTGCGCTGTCGTGAGTTGGGCTTAAGAGCAACACCAAGTGAAAGTGGCGATTTAATCAGGTAAAACGCGAAACTCACACTTGCGTCAGCTATGATTGATCATGTCAAAACTAACACAACTGCTTACTCAAAGTACAGTACTCCCCTTTCGGTGACATTCAGTGTAACGATTCTACCTCCAATTAACCGTATAGCACTAGAAAAACCTAACTATCATGGAAAACTTTAAACCAGCGTAGTGAAACAAGACACCATAATCCTACGTTCCGATAGGAATCCTTGATAAAGGTTGATCATAGCAACCGAAACATCACGTCTTATTCCACTACACTATGTTTTGACTTTGAAAGTTTCCGTATTATGCACCACATACCGCCCAATCATTTTAAGAGCATCCCAGGTGAGTTTGGTCCAGAACCGTTAAACCAACTATCGTTGTCTTGAAACTTGTTTCCTCTAAATTACTGACGCCTCTCAAATACGACGGGGTAAAGTCGTGTCTGCGGATTGTCGATCTGGGTCCGTAAGTCAGCCGCGGATTCTGGCGTTTTATCGTTCTTATACTGATAACAGGTTGAACTGCGTTATGGATTTTGGATGTCCTTCATTACACGAGCATGTCACCACATTAACATGTCTAATGCAATTTGTCAGTGAAGCATTTAAAAGGAATTTGTAACTGGAAACGCTGGTCGTACTGGAAGCGAATCTTCACAAAAAGAGTCTGTAGGATGAGGACTGACTGCGTTATACTTGTTATCTGTCCAATTCTTGTCGAACCGCATCGTACCTGCTTGTGTTTCATGGCCCTTGTTGTTTTACGTTCTCCTTATTCCAACCCCCAAAACAGCTGTTCCTCACTCAGTTGATCTTTTGTCTTGCACAACAATGGATGTTGCCCACCTTGCGGAACAGTGTGGCTCCGATTTCCCAATCTGACTTTAGCCAGATTGTTGAGCGCTGTCTGAAGCTTGCCATTCCCAACCACCTGATTTGGCTTCTTTTCTTCTACGCCTCCTTCCACTCCCTATTCAACGCGGTCGGGGAGCTAATGCGATTTGGTGACCGATTTTTCTATAGTGACTGGTGGTAAGTCCCTTTTTTCTATTGCCACCCAATCAACCATTCCGTGGTAGTCCTTTATTTCGTCACTCGTTGGGGTTATTGATTGGGCGTTATGTATTTCCTTGCAGTCTTCAAGCCAGAGTAATTTTAGGCGGTAAATTATTGAGTGGGCACTGTGAAAATAAGATCATACTCGTCGTGCGGAGCCAGAATCACTTTTGATGAGAGCTTGAACGATTCAGGTTGGTGTTTGGTGTCACCAGAAGCATGTTATAGATAGTGACCAAACAACCTATCGTGGTCACCTCATCGTAGCTGATTTATCCCCAAAACAATTTACTGCGAGTTACTTTATCGGTAAATCAATTAACTGAAGGTTCATTTATCACTGAGTCACTTTTTGTGGCCAAGAGCGAATCCAACAAGCCTCTCGCGGTCAGATAAGTATGACTCGACCGTTGTACTTTCGTGTGATCTGTGCTCTGGACCCATTCTACCCAGGAATTGGAGAGTAAAACAAATCAGGATTTTTGAGTACTATCAGCTAAGTGAACATCGAAAGTGCGCGGAAGCCAAAACAATAGTCGGCTGGGCCATCTAAGACCGTGTGTCATCCATCACCAACATACCATGTGCCGCACAGTGTCATGACGGGCTGGTCGCCATTTGTAGATACATGGTGGGTTTCTCTAATCCCTGGGTCACTTCGGTTTCCATGCGCCGTCAACCTTGCTTAGGTTCGTCGTACTGAATTCATTCGAGTAGAAACAAATCCGATAACTGACGCATGTAGTATTTGGTCTGGGTCGTTCGGGTTCTTGGGTGTCACCAATTTTGTATCCTGGCGGTGAATTGGACTGCGGTTCACCGCTTTTGCAACAAACTGGAGTACGGCAGTTTATCCGGCGACCGGTTAGCCTGCAGTGAATTAGTTTGACGGTGAATTGGCTCGCATTGATCTGGTAGATTACCGTTTTTAACGTCAGAGAAATATGAGCTTCGCATGCCGTTTATCGCTCAATCAAACGTAGGAAGGCAAAACCCCAAAGGCACGTTTAGCACTAAGTCCTGCTGTTCTGGTTTCTATTGTCTAACTGGATGGGAACCGAGACCAGATATACGACTAACATCCAGCGACTTGATGGGTGTTTCCGTCCCTATATCTTTGTTTTTTATCGAGGTTTTCGCTTTCAATACACTAAAAAACAAGCGCGGAACGATTGCTAAAGGTCCAGATGCAGGTCATTGCTGGTTTCCTTCTCTTTGGGGCTCATCAAGTAGGCGTAATCCGTGGAAGCTAAGGCGGTTAATCCGTGAATCGTTTAGAGTTTGACCGATGTTTGCTCATACACATGATGAAAGTTCAGGATTTGGAGACTCGATGAAGTTCCTCGTAGTTAATAGTGCATCAATTTTCTTTTGCACAGTGTGCAGTACATAGGCTTCATCGAGGTCTCTGCGAAAATTTTCAAAGAGGTTTCTCTTGTTCCTGAAATAAGTGGTATGGGAGGTTTTGAACAGTCGTGACCGATCTTTTGACAAAGTACACTCCAGTTGAACCTGATGTTTCTGATTTATAAGCACGATTCTCTCTATCCCTTTATATATATATACATATAATATGTATAAAATATGCATATATATCAGCCTTAACAGATATATACCTTAACAGACATCTTCAGCGAAGTAGCACAGATTTCATGAACGATGGACTAATGTGAAACATGTAGAGCAGGACAAATCCCTATGTGCTCACCAAAGAACGTTCACGCACATTGTTTAAACAAGGACAATTGGATTTCGCACCTGCCATGTAGGACGCCTTCTATTTAGCTTCTGTCTGCCAGTTCGTCTTTGGGCTGGTTCTTCTCCACTGTTGGGAAGAACACATAATAGGAACTGTGGTTTTGACACTTAGTCTCTATGGGGGTTCCGTTTTGAGTTCCCGATACGAAACCCCTGGTCACGTATAGGTTGGATGATTCTGAATATCACGAGAAAACGTTGGGTTAAAGGAACAAGAATGTAGTTTCTATAAATCTCACTACTGCGTACTAATAAGCAAAATTGATCAGTAGGTTCAGAACGGCCGTGGCTCTGCCTGACTCGGAAATCCTGAAAGGTGGGTCAGTCGACCGCCACAGCGAGGACAATTAACTAGGTCATTATTCGATTCGTTGCGTCAATCATTAACGCCGCTCAAGCATGATCATGCTCGCCCGTTCAGACGTCATAATTCAGGTGCATGGTACTTGTGGAGCAGTGGTAACACACTTGCCTTGCAATTCAGATTGACCGGGATTCGGATTCCGATCTGCCAAGGACGAGTACTATCGATGGGCTCCAGCGCGAGCGAAATCTGCGTTCACTGCTTGTCTTCGGATGTGGACTCACCGGAGGAGTTGCACGAAGCAGGGGAAGATGCGAATGGTAAATTACGCAAACGTGCACACCTACCCACCACCTCACTCTCCACTTTAGTGGGATAAATAACCATGGCAGACCAGGGTAGCTCACCGACCCAGTGCAGCGTCCAGGTGTCCGTATACCAGATGACCGACCGGAATGATAGTGTCTGTCGTCCAACCAGTGATCGCTCTGAAGATTCTGATTGGTGGTGCGACTACTTTCATGTGACGGCAGGGTGTCAGATTAGGCTGAGCGGAAGTACGACGAACACGGACGAGCAGCTGATACACTGACACAAACCATTCACATGCCGTTTGGCGTTATGACAAGGTCAGTGACAAGTCAGACGAAAACAAGTGGAAATCGATGAGCACGCTGACGGGCTGAGCAAATGAGTGCGAGTATCAGTAAGCCTTGAGAAAGGTAGACCATGGCAACCGAAACTTCGGATTACAACAACCTATTCCACAACGCTTTTGACTTTCCACTTTAGTGGGATAAATAACCATGGCAGACCAGGGTAGCTCACCGACCCAGTGCAGCGTCCAGGTGTCCGTATACCAGATGACCGACCGGAATGATAGTGTCTGTCGTCCAACCAGTGATCGCTCTGAAGATTCTGATTGGTGGTGCGACTACTTTCATGTGACGGCAGGGTGTCAGATTAGGCTGAGCGGAAGTACGACGAACACGGACGAGCAGCTGATACACTGACACAAACCATTCACATGCCGTTTGGCGTTATGACAAGGTCAGTGACAAGTCAGACGAAAACAAGTGGAAATCGATGAGCACGCTGACGGGCTGAGCAAATGAGTGCGAGTATCAGTAAGCCTTGAGAAAGGTAGACCATGGCAACCGAAACTTCGGATTACAACAACCTATTCCACAACGCTGTGTTTTGACTTTATGAGTAAAGAAAATTCGGTATATTTAAAACTGTTTACGAGATTAATCTTGGATTCTGATAGTAAATAATTCATAGCTAGTGACTTCAGTGGCTATGCTCGTCCTCATATTTCCAAACTAACCGAGCCGCTGTTCACGTTCTCCTACCCCATGAAATGAACAGACCAAGTGGTTAGCGAAATACACTCATTTGCAAACAAATTTGGTTTTGCGAGACTCACCTAGAACCCAGCTGAATCTCTCGTTTGTGGTGTTTCCATGCAACCGCACCAGACCGCCTCATGTTTCAGTCGCTACGATACTCGAGATGTCGCGATATGTGTATATTCGTAATGCACTACTCATAAGACCAAATAGTTGTTTTCCGTCCATAACAGGGAACAATGCTAATGCATCCTCCCGATGAGTAAACATTTCCACGTCTCGCGTAAATGTTCTCGGGCATCTACATAACATTTTTGCGAGATTATCCCACATCAGTGTCTACTGTTTGAGTCCGCTTGTATTATTACGACTTCTCGTGACACTCGTTGTCACTCTGTACTGAAAAGCTGAAAACTGTACAGTTGTTTCATCCATCTTGGGCATGATCAGTGGTGCATATCTCATGAAACCCCAGGGAGTTCGGAACCCGCGACCTTCCAGCCAGTAGTTTGAACATTTAATCGTTCAGCCAGGGACGGCCAAGTCAAGGTCACGAGTTCGAGGCGCCCTGGAGTTTCGTGAAATTTGTACTGCTGATGTTTCTCCATGAATAATGAAAAAGCCGTATAGTGGATTTCGGCTTTTCGGCATAGACTGGTTTCAATAACAGAACGAAATCCCCATTAAAATCCTCAAATCTACTCACAGACACTCATTGCCAGTTCCTCCTTAAATGGGGTGTCCTTCCTGTGGGAGATAGTTGGAATCGGCAATGAACGACAATGTATTTCGCGCTTGTTTCGGTATTTAAACCAGAATGTCATGTCTGTCGCGTTGTACATTCGTACCTCATAGCTCTAGTCAGGAATCTTGTGCGAATGGAAGACTTCCTCAACTATACGTGTTCTGTCACCACATTCTTTGGATGGTGATGGCATGCGGCAAATTCTTTTGCTCTTTCTCGATCTCAAATTCAAGGGGGAACTAGTCAGGCTACACAGTAGGCACGTACTTTTTGTGCTTCGAAAAGTAAGAGGAATCTCAGATGCCACATATCAAACAGCATCTTGGAAAAGTCTTTTAAGTAGGAATATGATCGTGATTACCTGAAATCTGAATAGCCCGTGTATGGCGTGCCTTCCATGTCACTTCCAATTGGACCGTTGTAAGATGTTGTTTTCACTTAGCTGACTGAGTCATTTAAGTGTGTGATATGGTAGTACAAAGTCTTTCGCTGCTACAGTACCGTCTTCACAGTCGATTTTAATTTATACTAGCTGTGATATACACTAGGAAGTTTTCGTTGTAACGTTGGTGTTATTGTACAAGGTGACGGTAGTGTGCCCTGCTGAGGCTGGGTTCTGAGTTACCGGGCACCTCAAAGGTGCTTTGTGAGATCGAATCAAATCTCTCCTGGACATCCACACGTTACCCTGGTGCTAGTTCAGGTCCCCTCTTTTTGTCAGGAATCCCGAAACTGTTCCAGCCTTTTGGTCTAAGTGGAATATCCCAGTGCACAGATTTGCTCGCCGGTGAGTAATTCTCAAGTGATTTTCCCCATTATTGTGTGTCCCTGTTCTAGTAAGTCACAATTACGAGCCACTCTCACTTTACATGTATACTGGCCGGCTTGCTTGTATGACCATATGATTCTATTGTAGAGGTAACTTGTTTATGGCCTACAGTGCGTGAATTTCTCGCAACCCAATGGATTCATAGGACGCTAGTTTTAATATTAGCGTGCGGTTAAGCTTAACAACTCGTTTGTGCCGAATAGCACGTGTGAAACGATCACTTCATTCAATCCATTCTGTTTGTCAGGAAACTTGATGCATGATTCCGAAAATCAGACGTGAGCGTAATGGTCCTCTCAGCTTCAGTTCAGATATGATGGAAAGTTAATTTACCATAACTTAACGCACAACCGATCTAACCTCTCATTCAATGATCCAACCTTTATTGATCTGTTCAGTTGGAATACCGAATTACGACTGTAGAAATAAAAAGTAGATCACTCAGCTGTAACACCTGGCGTCTAGCTGCCATGCCACCAGAAGAAGGCACGAAATATGGGATACTGCCAGGTTGTCCAAGCCTAGACAGGAGAAGTCGAGAGGCAGAGGTTGGGTTCGAACCACAGGCCTTCCGGTCAGTAAATTCGCGCTCTAACCACTTGAGCCATCTTGCCCCTTGTAGACTGTAGACGGGTGGTCGAATAACTGATGACTTAGCACAGCTTTTAGATTTGAAATATCTCTTATTAGATCAACCGCCAACGGGCATGAGCCCATAAAGCTACTTGCTTTCGAGAAATATCTTTCGAGCTTCTTTGAAAAAACCATCCACTAAGTTGGTGCCCTTGTGAAACTGGTTTCAACTGAATTTCCGCTTCATGATAAAACAGAGACTCGTATCTTCAAGGAAATTGTCGTCATATGGTGAGAAAGTGATCGCCGACCGGGCACCATATTTTGAATCTACAAGGTCTTAAGAAATGTTACAGTACTACAGGGGGCAACAGAATTAGGACATCTCTGTGCGATTCTCATGCCAGTGGTGTAGCTCCACATTGAAAAGTGGGGTCAGCGGTAACACTTCTTGGCATGAAGAGACGTCTGAGTTATCGTTTAAAAAAATCTCCTCTACCGGGTAACGACTATTCGATTCAGTCTATGGGTGATATGTGAGAGCGGTGCTTGATATGTACGCTGTAACCAAATCTGCTAAGGAGCCCTACAGGACACACCGCAGGTGGTTGGAATGAGAGTAGATAAAACGAATGAGACGGACCTGATAACAAAAGGGTCCGATGGTGAGCAAACATGGTTATTCTGTGCGGATCAAAGCTCACACGTACGGTACTGGATGCACGGTACCCGAGCTTCAAAATGAAGCAGGAACGAAGGCTTCGAATCGGGAAAGAGATTGTCTTNATGTGAGAGCGGTGCTTGATATGTACGCTGTAACCAAATCTGCTAAGGAGCCCTACAGGACACACCGCAGGTGGTTGGAATGAGTAGATAAAACGAATGAGACGGACCTGATAACAAAAGGGTCCGATGGTGAGCAAACATGGTTATTCTGTGCGGATCAAAGCTCACACGTACGGTACTGGATGCACGGTACCCGAGCTTCAAAATGAAGCAGGAATGAAGGCTTCGAATCGGGAAAGAGATTGTCATAGGTCAAACAGTTGCAAATATCTCAGATCCTCCACTAAAAGTGGTTAAGTCTTGCAGCCCTACAATAACACAGTCCGCACTGTATCGGATATCCCTTAATAGCTAATAGTAGGCCTTTTTGATTTCACAGATGGCGCAAATTGGCAAACTCAATACTGGCCTCTGAGATCCATGCTCTGACTTCGCTTGTTACGCTACCGTCTGAACTTCTGCGACTTCCGAGATATGTACAGTGGTTCACAATTTCCAGTGTCACTCACCGAATTCATGGAAGCATGGTCAAAGACTGACCTTGAACTTTTCGATGCTCAACACATGCTGAGGGATCAGGTGACCTCGGTCAACTTTCCTAGTAATACTGGCGCTCTGTGCTCTTCATTTCAGAAATGGAAGCAATACCGCCTGCATATTCTAGATCGATAAAGTTCTCAATCGGAGAGATCTGAACACTAGTGTTCGGTGTATTACCTTATCGATAGACCGAAAATGGGACTACACTGTCAAACGCCATTGCTTTATAGCAAAGCTTTCGGCTAGTTACCCACACACCAACACCCAGAAATATGTAAGTACAAACAACGGATAAGACTCATGAACTCTGGGGCATACCCCGTTGCGCAAGCGTGTTAAGAAGGGACCGGTTGACTTAATCGAATGGGCTCCTAAATTCAGGGAAAACCAAAGCTATAGGTTATCTAAATGCATTCGGTTGCCGTAACACTTGACGGCGTTTAAAATGCGATTCACCCAATTCCTTCCCGGTCAGGATCCTTTTTGTTCTCCCTACTCACGCGCCCCCATAAAACGACGTAAAATAAGTGACGCGAAGAGTCTGGTTACAACGGCAGTCAGGATAATTCCTCTCTAATTGTCACACTCGCCGAGAACACCCTTTTTAAAAATAAGTACCACTATCGACTTAGCCCAGTTGCAGGAAAAGGGCCTTCCCTACCCCCGGATAGAGTCATAAAAGTTGGGATTTCGTCTCCATTCTTACAAAGAATATGGATGTTAGCCAGGGCCATCAGCTTCGTAGCTCTTGAGTGTGAAAATCAGGATTACTCATTGGATGTTAGAGCCGACCTTGACTTGACGGCCTGCATACGTGTCGCTGATGGACTTACACAGCCCATCCATATTTCATTTCGTACAGCTCCAGAGTAGTTACCAAAGTGCCCTAATGTGTGAATATTGATCATTAATTCTTCATATGTTTTGAAATTTCGCCATCAAGTCACAAGTGTTTCACCTTTGTCACCAGTTCCCATATTTCGGTAAGGCTCAACACCCACGCCGAATAGTTTCATAAATGCCTATACCTTTCCTATAGGTTTGACGGATACTTTTAAGTATGTTTCTGTCGCAAAAAGCCGCCATGTGAGACTAAGTTGAGACTAAGTTTCACCGACCATGACGCACACGGAAGACAGTATGATATATTATCCTTTCCAGTTAGATTTGATTTGTCCCGCATAGTGCCACTCGCTAGTTTCGGATACCCAGTTTCATCATCCTCCACAGTTTCTACAGGTCTCCCTGTAGTAGACGCATCTCATCTGCTCACACCGGGTCGCCGTCAGTTCAACTGCCATGAGCTGACGTTGCTGTCAATGTACCCGCGCACAACTCTTGAGCTGCAGTAACACACACATTACGTCCGAGTGACTCACTCTAACCGACGCGTACATAGGAGAACCAGGCGAATCGTTTGATAGTGACGTATTCTATGGTATTTATGAGTTCTAACTGCACCCAACTGGTCTTGATGTGTTGAAGTTCATAAGCCTAGCGTGTTACGCAAGTGGTAGCCGCGTAAACCAAAATGGATGAGAATTTGTAGTGTACAGGTCGTCGAAAATTGTCAGCCGGCGAGTGATATGAGGAGGGCATTGAACTTTACTCACCTCTATGGTTCTGCCGGTGCCTTTTCCGAAATTGACTGAGGGGGCGAGTGGTTATTTCGGAAGAAACACGGTTGCGAGCACTTGCGTGCCCGATGTCCGAAGGCGCTATGGTACCAGCAGTGACCATTTCCCGTGGAGGGTGAATGTGGTCGAGAAAGCGAGCGTGTACGTGACTGCTCATGGCGAACGATTGACTTCTACCTGTTTGGTTAACTTTCCAAAACGCTCGTGAAAAGTGGACACAACAACTGGTGTATCTACAGAAGAAATACTAGAAGAGCACGGTTGAATTTCCAGTATCTTATCTGCTATGCTGGCAAGTCCAGAGAGGTGAATACCTTCTGAATTGGAAGCGAGAATTTATTGTAAATGGTTGGGTAAACGTTTCGGAAAAAGCTGCTTAAACAAAGCACCATCGATTTTGCAGTTCCTCATGATGCTGTAAAGTCGTCGTAATAGTTGAGATGGGATAGAGCCATCAATAGATTCCCCGCTAAGTAGTTGTTTGGGTCGTTTATGTTCGGATAAACTGCAGCGTTTAATGATGACAGTACTTAATTGCGTATAAGGCTTGATGCCGTCAGGGTCCATTAATATGTCGCGTAAATCGGCTGCGATTTCGGGAGGGAGTACTGCAAGCACATGGTGATACGTTGCATGCTCTTGCGTGATTATGCGAGGGTGATGTAGAAAATAGCGTCCTCGTAAAAAAAAACCACAGCAATCACATGCGAAACATTTAGGTCAGTAGGTCAATTACCACAGAAATATCACAAGGAGTCTTATTATCTGGCCTGTCCAAGCGGAGCTTCATTTGTTTCCGTATCAATGGGGCTGTGAAGTCCACTTGATTCTGCTGCATAATTGAACGTAAACCGCCATTCCATTGATGTGGCGCTAAAAAAATGGTTGAAGTCCGTTGCAATTAATAAATTTGAACAAGAGAGAGTCTTGGAAACTGATTGCTATGTCAGCGTTCACTGCAACTTTAATTCGGCTGATCGAAGCTCAACCGACAGGTTGATGACTAGTGAGGACCCATGCGAGCAAAAGAGATCCCTTTGAGATTTGGTGCTCCGGCTTGTTGTATGAGCTTCTTTAGACGGAAAAACTGAACAGTGAGCGGTTGAACTTCATAAGACAGCGGCAACTTAAAAGTATTCACAGTAGTTGGGTAGCAAATCGACTATTGGTCGCATCCGGGAATCGGAGACTCTTCCAGATCTTCCTGCAGGTAGCAGTTTGCATCGGGCGGTTAGGCGAAGTACCAAGGCATGTAAGGACCACCAGTTTCCTGCTGCACGTCAGAATACCGAAACCAAACATTTGGTTAACTACTTGTTGTAGCTCCTCGCGGAAATAGGATCGTCGACCGCTCTGACGGAGAGACTCTTTAGAGAGCCTTTGGAACGAGTCCTCGCAAACCTAGATGATACTTGCTCTGAAATGCAAAGCGTCACGGGAGCAAGGGTAACAGCCTAAATGCATTATGCTGCCGATTCTGGGTGAAGAGGAATGAGGTTTTGATTGCACATTTGGTGCCGCGACCGCTGAACCTGCCTCGAGAACATCGCTAATGGCATCTCCATGGAAAGAACGGAACTTTGTCTTGGAGAATAATCATGATGTTACTCGGGAATTTGTGTACTACCGACGGTGCCAGCTCCGCAAAGATCTTGGTTAAAGATGTTTCTGGTCTGTGCACAGGTAAGTGCATAAATCAGGGCAGCAGCAGCACTGCATTGTCAGAACCACTAGAAAGTTCTATGGGCCTGGTCACCGTTTGAGATTGCCCCTCCCTTGCACCTCCAAATGCGATCTGTAGTCGGCAGATCTCCATGGTGTTCGGCGACTGTCATGCGGTCCTTACCAATAACCAAGTGTAGCAACACTAAATAGGAGTAAGTGTTCTCGTGATGTGTAAAATCTCCCTTTGGCTTGTTAACGCTTGACCTATGGTATCACCAATAGACTCATGAAGCAATTTTTACGGGTTGCAGTTGCCAAGATTCCCCACGTTTAGAGAACACTACCACCAAAGCCTCGTTACCCCATGTGCAACAGCTGTTACAATATGGTCGGTACTCTCGTGCCATGGCGGGGAAAGTATGACTTCCGCAAGTGGTACCCCGGTAGCTGCCACTACTGATACATTCATTTAGAACGTTATTGCTAATAAGTGGTACCACAATTTATTGAAATTTTTCCGTCATTAAATATGTCCATTATCTGCTATGCTGGCAAGTCCAGAGAGGTGAATACCTTCTGAATTGGAAGCGAGAATTTATTGTAAATGGTTGGGTAAACGTTTCGGAAAAAGCTGCTTAAACAAAGCACCATCGATTTTGCAGTTCCTCATGATGCTGTAAAGTCGTCGTAATAGTTGAGATGGGATAGAGCCATCAATAGATTCCCCGCTAAGTAGTTGTTTGGGTCGTTCCAGGCTTACCGATTTATTTGTTTTATGTGCCCTTCTCTGCCTTTTAGACACATCTATCTACCTCTGCTTGGCTTTGGTCTCACTCGTTCGCAGGCCGGTATTGTGGTTTTTTTCATCAGTGCGGTGCTGCACGAATTCCTCATTTCCATACCTCTAAAAATGCCTCATATGTGGGCGTTTTTCGGCATGCTAAGTCAAATGCCGTACGCACAACTGGTCAAGCGTCTCTTCCCGAACGGTGGTGCATGGGGTAATGTGGCGGTGTGGATGACGCTGATTATTGGTCAACCTCTGGCCATGTTGTTTTACTTCCATGACTATTATCTGGTCCACTATGTCACCCCGGAGACACATCAATGAATTATTCGGTTAGCTCCAGCGCTCCCTTCATGCAGGGCTTCCGTGTTCAAACGGAACCAGATTACTGCCCCTCATTTCCCCAGGGAGACCTGCCATTACTTTGTAATTGTCAAGGATATTTTTGTACATCCACTGATTTTTAATTCCATCCTTGTCACTCTGTAGTCTACTCATCGCTTTATTCGTGTCTTATTTTGATTCACAAATACCGCGAGTAAATTATCAGTCTGTTCTGCTTTCATCAGACACAGATCGCACCAGGTCTTGAGCTACGGGGACTAGAAAGTTAAGTTTGTTCTTGACTTAAACTATTCATAGGGACATTGAAAACTTTGGCAGCTTACTAATGAGAAGATCTTAAGAATTGGTAGGCCAAAATCGAGCACGGTTCTCCCCACGCGTGGATGGTGACTTGTTTTTCCAAAGATTGTACCCACTCTAAGTTGTTACTGTCGCCTCTAGTAAACCTATTTTCGGACCAATGGTAACGGGAAAGCTCAAGACAGCGCACCTGGATTCTTCTACCCTGAATCACTGGTGATCAGCATCACAATTGCTGTCAGCGATGAAGGTGAAATTTTCGATGGACAATGAATATTTGGAATGGGTCGTGTAAACTATGCGGGCACAGTTCTCTCAGCGCGCTCTGAACGCATATCAGAGCCGCCCATCAATGGACGTGAGGGTGGGCGTGCTACGCAGTTTTGTGCAACAATTTTCAGCTACTCATGAGTAGCTTTCGCCCGGCAGTCAGCAGTGCTCTCACACCTGGTCATCATCAACGACAGCATGACATCAGTGCTCAACACCAATGCTTCACTGCCGTACCACACCTGGTCACAAATAACGTATCATTTCTTTAACTAGTTAAACCAAGCCCCTTGTTTAGGTCCAAAGGGGTTTAGGGGACCTCGTTGAGATAATTTACGTGAATGCACTGTAGGAGCGAAATTGTTCATCAAAAGACTGATTTTAGGAAAATATAATTTTGAGAAGAAAATTCGGTAGCCGATCGAACCCCGTATTTGTGACAGGAAGGCTGACAGCGGCTGGGAGATGATTTAACATGATTTCTCAGTGTCGATCGTATATACTCCAATTATCCCCCCATAGTACTTGATGCAGCATCTGATCACCTTAATACACTTTCCGAAATGCATGAAAACAGCATTTGGACACTGAAAGTTCAGAATGAGCCAGGTTACCCGAGGCTCAGTTAGCCCACATTAGGTACATTTTTAAAAAGGGCTTGTACCGTTTGAAATATGGGTCGGATGGCTATAAAGCTGTACATTTTACTGTCTACACTCATATCCGTTCAGAGACCACTACAGTTTTTTAGGTAACGCGTTGCCGTTGCATCAGTTCAGGTACGCATTGTGCAGACATTGATATTGAAGGCAGCATCTTGACTAGAAACTCCTAAGCCAGGAAAGGACTGACCGTTGAAATGTGAAACAAGCTTCCCATGAGTTCGAACAACAGAAAATGGGGGCATCCTAATTCAGAATAAAGTAGCCTTCTTCAACGTAACATACTACTTAAAAGGTTGGTGAAAATTAATCGACAGCACACGACCAGTTTCACCCTGTACTCCATCAGGTATGCGCAGTCCTCAAGTTCCCGTCATTCGAACCCAAATTAGACAGAGTTGCACACGAATTTGGTTTTGGCACGAAACTCAACTGAAGCGAGTCGTCATAAACGAGAGATTCAGCTGGATACAGTTGAGTCTCCTGTCAAAATTAAATTCGTGTACAAATGGTAGCGTTTAATCAAAAACGACCAACCATGTAATGTCAGTCAATCAACTCTCCTCTATCTCCTAAGTCTTATGGTCGTGTAAATCTGCAAGGCGGTCTGTATATATATGGTAGAATTGGGTCAACGAGTCTTGTGCTGTGTATGAACAGTCGTTGCACACAAGGAACTCGGTGGGTGCGTTACGAATTCCCATTCACCTGTCGAAGAGGGATAATCAAAATGTTCACCGTGCCTCGTAGTTGATGGTTAAACCACCGAGAACAGACGTACAGCACAAGCTATGTGCAGCCGGTATCTAACAGGCTCATTAACCCACTGCACGTTCTCTGGTATCTCTAATTGTGCCAAGATAGTAGGAGGGCTTTTCGGACGAGTGGGGTGAGTGTGAATATTGCAAATTCCGCAGTACCTACGTCTGATAAAAAAAATCGTCCAGTGGGCTCCACTGTCCGTGGCGCTACCCGACTGGCAGGTCCTCACAGTAGGGTCAGTCAGTTGACACAACCAGGACAATTGCTAAGCCAGTCATCACCCAGGCATGAACACCATCGACTGTTCGGTCATGATGATTCAAGTGTCCAGCGTGGTAGAGTAGTGATAATTCGCTCGCCTCGCATGTTAAATGTCCGGCACTATCAAGGGTATGCGCTTTGGTCGGCTCTGGTAAAAGCGAAACTCGAGTCCAGTTCTTCCCACGATTAGTGAGGACTTACAAGAACAACTGCGACAGGGCATGTGTGGGAATGTTCACACGAGAATTCTACAGGTCCCACAACCAGCTACAACTGTTGTCTAATTGTTTTGTCTGTCGTTCCGTCTGTTGCTGAGCCCTGCGCTCAAAAAAACTAGCAACTTGTGCAGCATTGGATGAGTTCTCCGCAAAATCTTTACATTATTGCCCCTATAACCCCACACACCTGAAGCTATTACAGTTTACATAAGTGATAACCCTCAAAAGTGGTTCCTCGGGCGGGACGATGGACCTTGCGGCCCGTTTTTTACTGAGCTTTTTCGAGCTCCCTTCCAACTGTGGGGGTAATTGAAGTTTCCTTAGGGTGTTGTCTGGTCGGAATGTTAGACGCCAGTCCTGTTAGACACTATGTCACTAAAATGGATTACCCTAGTGCTGCGATTCGAAATAAATGGATAGGCACACTGGAGGACAAGTTGAAAACCCTCAGTGAAATTTTCTCAACTGCCTCGTAATACTAAGAAACTGTAAGTAGCTCAGAAGAGAGGGGAATTCAGACGATAAGTGAAATTCCCCATGAGGAGTCTTCAGTCGAGTAGCTGGTCAACTCGTGACCGCGTGATGTGAACTCCGTAGATGAATGGCCATTGAAGCTATATCCGAAATCCGAGATCGCCGTAGATCGGTTTAGTTTCAAACGCTAACCGGGGGTTCGAATCTTTCAGGGTCAAACAGCTATACTGTGCTTCACAGCTTTTCAGCACAGGCAAAAGCTCGAGTGATCAGTAGAATTCTTGTTCACATCACTCTCGCTTAAATAATCGTCCTCCTGTCCTGGTGCGTTAGATCTAGCTTATCTGTACCAAAGCGGACATGCATTGTATTACAGTTTCGCTCTTGCTAGAGGTCATCGGCAATATATCCTTGACCGTGTTGGAAGATATGTGGTATGCGATGCGAGTGTGTTACCAATACTCCATTTTCACTCACTGCATGCACTCGAACTGTCATGTATGAACAGGTGAACGTGTTCACGCTTGAGCAACCTGATTCCGTTTCCAAACGCCTCGAACTCCGTAACGTTCTGGTTCTGCCTATCCATTACCTCCAGTGTACTAAATCCATATTGTCTGTACAGTAGTATCAGGCATCAATCGTCCAAGTTTTGCTCCCTGAAACCAGTCATCTCTGGCATCACAAAGTGTGTCGAAATTTCCGAGTAAAGCCGTCCATTGGACCTGAGAACTTCTAGCCCAAATAGTTGCAGTGCTCCGCACAAACCTCCTTGTTCGGCGTTTGCGACATAAAGATATTGTTCGACCCGCATCTTTGTTCACTCATGCCCTTCTGAGCTCTCTCACGATGGGTAACTAGAAGTTGATTGGCCCCATATGTCATCGACCTAAACGAGGATAAATATTCAGGAGGGCCGTCTCGGTTAGCAGCTTCCAGATCTACCCTTCTACATATTTATGCTCCATTGATGGCTACGTGAGTCGTCTCTCTGAAGCACCTATATGAGTTCCAAGCCTGGTCACACTAAGCGGACCAACGTTATTCACATTCCACTCTCGCGATCCAGATTCAAGAGCTTGTGACGGCTGAAAGTCCCCTAGTTAAGTAATCTTCTTATAGAAAATATCTTCATTCTGTTCGGTAAGAGAGCTGAATAATGATCAATTTAAGGAAATTAAATGAACAGCTATAGCGTTCTGTCAGCATATACAGCATGTAGTTCCAAAGCTCAGCTCTAACGTCACTTGCCTCAGTTATTTCGTCAGACCGAAAGCATGCAGGCGGTAAATCTGACGAGTGTAAGAATTCCTAATCTGGCTAACTGAGCGCTACGAAAGCGCATGAGATTGATCGATCCTGAAAAGAAAATGTGAAAACCTTTTGCTGAAGATTTACAGACTACTTCACCCATACTAAGACGGATGCTTGGGCAGTTTCACCAAACAATAGTGGTCATATTACTTGACTGGATGGCTGGCTTTGACTCCTAAAAGCTTCAAACTTTATTGCAATGTATGGCAAGTAGATTGGTACCATATGGATTACTGTCTCTTTTCACTATTCTGGGCGTACACGGGTCTATTGGAAGCTTTCGCTTAAATCTATTACTCTCCTCCCTCCATTGGTCAAAGGTTAGAGGCCTCATCGGTTTTTGATGTACTTAAGAATAAAACCCACTTCGGGAATTTATCGATCAACATGAGATACGTGGAAGTCATACTTTTTCAAAGACCGAACCCTCCGTGATTGCGGCTTATTTTCCATAAGTAGATTTGCCATATCAGTTAGTCTGTATGTCGTAGTTGAAGAATATGAAGCGCTAACTCAAGATTCATCTGCATCCTTTTGACCACAGGCTAGTCAGCTGAAGTGGTCGAAAAATGTAACAACTTATGCATAAAGCCAGTATGCCAATTCTCAGTGTCCCTTATAAAAATTAACACCTTCGTAATGGATACGACTCTGAGTGACGTGTCTCCTTTCGTCGTGATCCCCGATAGTTGAAATGTACTCCTTATACTTACACAGAAAGCCCTCCGCTACAGAACTGGCTAATTTATCTCTAGATCACCAGGTTAACAATCACAGAAAATGACCACCAAATGTAGCACATAATCCAGCCACAAGTTACAATAGACATGACGAGTTGGTTCGATCAGTTTTCAAAAAGACAACGCCTCTGAATTTGCGATACGATCAAACTATGCATCAAAGCTGCTGAACGCAGATAAAGCATCACTGAGTGGGCGGTCAAGAGTCAACATTATGTTGTGATATTGGGGGCAAGATGGCCCAAGTGGTTAGAGCGCGAATTTACTGGATGGTGGGTCCGTGGTTCGAACCCGACCTCTGCCTCTCGACTTCCCCTGTTTAGGCTTGGGCAACCTGGCAGTATCTCAGCCCTCGTGCTTACTTCTGGTGGCATGGCAGTTAGGCGCCGAAAGGGTGCTACAGCTGAACGATTTTTTTGTGATATTGAAGAACATCTTCATCACATTATTATTTGCGTTTTTTCGGTTCTTCAGTGTAGCTAGCCAGTGTGAAAAGTGGTGGGTGAACCAAGAGGACACAGTCCAATAAGTACACAGACATATGTCACTAATGCATCATTATATCTGCGATCCAGACTGAATTGTCAGGTTTAAATATTTCAACAAACACTGCGGCCCGTCATTGAATATATCGTAGGACACCAGAGTTTTCGTTAAGCAGGTGCAGAAGATGCAGGAGATGCTTTATATTTCCCGGCACTCTGATGCAGAAATGCCCTCCCGCACAGGCAGCTTCGCACTGGTTTCATTTTTTGTAGACAAAAACGATGTCACTAAAGCTAAGATAGTAGTATTGTGTAAAAACTCCTGACAACATAAATGAAGACAACCGTGGATCGCATATAACATGTGTATTTTGCAATTTCGTTAACTTTATACTATTTTCGCCTACCACTGTTGTTTACTCCTTGTTAGTCTATTTTTCACCTTCGCCTTGATGCCTATCAATGAGAAGCTTGAGTGTATACATTTCCTCTCGTACCCATCGGCTCAGTCTGGCAGTAGTCCGAAAACTTGCATAGAGGACCGAATTACATGGGAGGAATGTAATCCTTTTTTTGTCCGAAAACTGCAATACATCATTTACATTGTCATTCTCAACTGTCTAAACATTTTCATCCTTATCCATTGTTGGTCGCAGGCAAAAACAGCTCAATAAGCAGATAGCAGTAAGGTGACTAGCCGACCAGTTCTGGATGCGACAAATGCTAGGATTACCCGAGAAAGACGATGTATGGAGTGCTAATTTTACTCACGGCATTATCGTTCAACACTGAGACAGTACAATCCGATGGCCAGTTTGAGGTTAGGAATGGTTCCATAGGTACAACACGAGAATTACTGTTTTGAAAATAAAGATCATGATACAGCAAATATTTGTGCATCTGGAAATCGTAGAGTGCAGAGTGATTCAGTGTGTAAAAAACGGGTTCCTATGAGACATATTGGTCACAAATCTTAGGCGACCTTTAGTCCAGCCGGATCTGGTCAAATCCGGAAAACCTGTGGCTGATTTCCAATGATCTGACCACATTTTTCTTGTTAGTGCTATGAAGTTTGTCAGTACTCAGTGATGTACTCATGGTAAAAGATTTCGTGTTTCACGCTCGGCAACACAGTGCAACCTACCCATAATTATGACGAGTCGGCGTTCGGGCGACTTGGGAAACTGTAGGGCTGTATCGATAACCTGATATTTCATTGCGTTATCTACAGAAACTCTAGCATGCCTCGGCCTTTGTGGGCACCCAAGAGGTCGTTTCGGTTTACCCATATTTATCGCTGCGACAGGACTTTGAGAACAGTAATGTTTCCTCCAGGCGATCAGCATTTCCATGCCTGTGAAGGTAGCAACGCCGCCATCCATCGAGGGAGAACCGGTTATGAAAATTCGGCTTCTGAAATCTACCAGAGGGTGACCGTTAGAGAATTACTGGATACGATCGAAAAAACTCCGGATAACCTGTCTGCAGCAGGGTTTTCTTGAGAAATCTCTCCTCCCGCACTGTCCGACCTAGTTTCATAGTCTCCGCGGTCTGCAGGACGAAGCCTATACCAGATCGCGCTTATGAACTATTGGGGGCATCACCTCGACGATATTGCTTCCACTGTTTATTTGCATAACTTGCATATTTCACTTTCACCACTGAAGACAGTAAATGAAAGGATAACGTATCACAGAATGCACTCTGAGATAGATAAAGGGGACACGATGTTTCAACTACACAAAGCTGTCGTTTATTTCGGAGTACATATGTTGACCTTGACCACAGTAACGTGCGAACCAGGGTATAGATTCCATTCCCCTCGAGAACATACAGTCGATGCAAGTTTATCCAGTTCCCACTTGCAAAGTATTTCTGTAGCCCAGGTTTATCGAGTTGAGCTGGCTGGGAAACATCCAGAACTCAGCGGGCACAGGATGCCGCGGAAACGACGGGGAAAGTCACGCTCACCGCTTTTGAAACAGGCTGCCTGATGCCGCTTGCACGTCCTGATGAACACTGGATTTCCTCATGATCAGCGCCGCTCGCCGATGTCACGAAAACCAAATCAGCCAAATATGACCAGTGCGTTGAGCGCAGATCTCTCGAATGCCGACAGTTTGGAGTTGAATGACTGCCAGGAAACGCTCGTGGATAGATAAAGCCGCGGAAAATGTATAAAGCTTTTGTAACGGGAAATAGTCGATCCCTGTTCCAGCTGATCTGGTCAACTGGTCCAACAGTAAATGTTGGTGGAACAATCTCCAAAAAGGATGTAACCTCACTCGTCTAAAGAGACATCGTGAACGATGGGATAAATAATTTGAGGAACAGCTCATCTGACCCCCATCAGCTTAACTGTTGGGAAAATCGCACGAATCCGGACTGAACGTTGGTACTATCAACCGATCAGTAGCGCGAGATCTTCGTTTAAGTGCGGCATAACAACTCGTTTGGACAAACGGCTACATCAAAGATGAAGAAGCCCTCGTGGCTAACTCGAAGGCTTTACTTCAACATATCTGGGATGAAGGTGAAATAACGACAGGATGTAGTCCTTTGACGGTGATTCCCATATTCAAAAAAGGTTGCAAGAACATCGTGCGAAAATCAGCTGGTATCATTCTTGCGACCAGGGACTTCAATGCGCTCTCTGGCACTATTTTAAGCAGGTTGGCTCATCATCGCAAGTCAGTCAGATCCGCGATAATCAAGTTGGGTTTCGCCGTGATCAGGGTGGCACGGGTCATAGTCTCACTTTGAAATGTGGAAATGCACCAATCTTTCTGACGACAACAATGAAAGTTTTTCGACCTCTGTATTTCGTCAGAAAATATGACAGTGTTTGGCAATTAAAGGCGCCCCTTTTAAATCCCCTTCTCTTATAAAAGCACTGTAGCCCTTGACCTATGGACTTGTACTTGTCTAAGGCTAATTCTATCCCCTCTTTAATACCTCGGGGATCAAAATATTTCCGGGGCACTCACTCACAGGTAGTGGGTAGGCTGAAGATATTGTCAACCTTGAATCAGCGGTAACTAGGCATTAGAGGGCAGTTGACTCTTCGACTGCTGGTGCGAGTTGTCTGTACTGGAAGAAATGCCAGAGCCGAAAGTGAAGCTCAACCACTCATCGCACATCTGAAAGCATTTGTTTCTGTACGTCCAATTAAACAAGACCTCGCGCTGAGAGGATGCTTAACCGTCCTTCGAGTTCACTCATGTACCAACCACGTTGGGATTCAGCCCAATACCACCTGTTGGAAGCCAACACACTCTTGTTCACTGCGAAGGGTTCTTATATGGGGAGAATCAAAGGCTCATCTGAGACACAAAATGGTGATACATTTCACCTGAACGCAAGGCGTAATGACAGGCTATCGTGTCTGTGTACTAACCACCAGCTGCTTCTTAATTTAGAGCTGAACGCTGTTATGCTACCTGTCGTTTTCTTGCAAACGAGCAATGTGGAGCAAAATTGAACGTATATCTACCACTTACTGATGATTAGGCAGAGTCCCTGACTTCCAACCATTCAGGGATACACACCGGATATTCACTCAGGTGTCACAGTTATATTTTCATACACTGATTGAACGAACCTGCTAGCGCCGTATCACAAGCAAGTATGTAGTGTTTCCTTTCCAGTAAGAATTCACGTCCGACGGTGAAGCAGTTGGGAGAAGCTTTAGAAGGTGGTTCTGATAAATTAGCCTAACTTTGGGACCTCCAACATCTAGGCGCTTTGTGCGCCCATTACACCACGACTGTGGAAAAGAACATGGGATCCACACAAGTGTTCCAGTAGGACCGGAGGTCAGTTATCTACCTGCACTACTAAAAACTGTTGAGGATTTCACCAGTTTGAATCCTTGGCTAGCATGCTGTTGAACACCATATAGTCAGACAACCACGGTTATTTCAGAAGTGCACAAAACAGTGCACAGAACCAAGCTGAAACTATCGATCACCGTTATCCGTAGCCATCCAGTCACATCAGCCATCTAGTTGAGTCTCGAATGCGCTAAGTCTGGTCACTTGTACATTCAGATCTCCCGCTTTTGGCTCGCCGTAGCAAGGCATTGAAGGCATCACAAAGGTTGTGCTTGATAGTGTCGGTGCCGTTTGTCTGGGGCGCAAACATACACGGTAAGCAGACAACAATCAACTTTTCGCTTGTGAGAATGCTTCAAAGATATTACCAGACGAGTGAATATCACCAATTATCCAGTCAAGCAGTGATATTTCCGCCCGGTCACTCAGGATGATACAGACCCATGCACAATCTGCCAGAGCGGCCCCTGAATAGCCGGGGGTGCGCAGCTAAATCGAGTGGAGTGAGAGGACAGTTACCTCAATGATTTTGTATCAATCCTGAGTTGTTGTTTCTGACAAGTAACAAAGACCAGTTTCTAATGAGTCCCGTGGAAGCAAAAGCAGCCTGTCCTGTTTGCCTCAGAGTGCAAACATTAAAAGAAATCGGTTAAACCGGATTCGAAGATTGTTATGGAGATGCCTTAGGCTGTCGGCGCCGGCGTTGCGGCCAAGACTGACGCAAGATGAATGGGATGATCAGTTTTGACGGAAGTGCCTACAAGGAGAGGATTATTAATGGCATGGTGTGAAAAGAAAGGAAGTGTATGTGAAAGAGAAGGGATACATCCGCAACACGTGTGACGACCCGGCTAACGCAATATGACGACCACTGTCGCACGACGGTACTTGTGGCTGTGGAAATCACAGGTGTACGTGGACCGGGACACGAACATTGGGACTAGACACAGAGAGGAGAACGACTAGGGTTCTCGAGAAAGGTCTTTGACTCAAAAGCCTGATCAGCAAGCAGCGATCCTCATCGTTGTAAAACCGCACACTTGACCACAGTGGTTATGGGAGCCACAGTTTTGTTAGCCAACAATTCGGGGAGACAGCTACGTATGAAGGTGATAGTCGATATAATTGATTGGTAAATACAGGGTGCCAGCGAAATTTTTATTGGGGAGAGCGGGACGGGAGCTATACACTAAAAGCAACAGCTTGCATGCACAAGTGCCAGAGGGTACGACTAGGCCATGACTGACAATGTCTCTAACCACCGATGTGTCCCCATCCAGGGAGACGCAAATACCAGCGCAAATGAGTTTTCTGGTAATGGCTTTCGTACTCCGTTGCCAAGACGTTGTTTGACTTTCCCTGGCTCGTTACCACTCTTCATGTGGTTGGGCGAAAGGTCTCTTCGAGGAAGTCGGTCAACTGGCATATGGAGCACGTAAACGAGCCAGCGCAACCTATGGGATGTGATCAGTTCGTCAACAATGAGCAAGTTATTATTTAGAAAATCATTCGATGTATTTCAACAGTAATGACCCGATATCCCACGAAATTCGAGAAATGCCCCAAAGACACCGATAGTCAAACTGAAAATTTTCTTCAGCAAACAGCGGCCACGCTTCTGACCCGGTTACTAACATGTAGCGCATCCCGGCATTGGAAACTCGAACAGTGACGGATAGGTTGTCACCCCCAAGCAACAAATGATGCAATTTCAAGAAAGCTGCTCCGGTTCTCCCAAATCTGATGGAAATATCAACTATGGCTAGACCAGCAGGATTGATACAGCCGCCCAGGTAGAAAACGTTTCTACGAATTCAATCGGCTCATCCGCATGACGATACGGTTCGAGCCTACCTAGTCTTGCAGCAGCACTTTACGCTTTGCAAGTGTGAGACGCATGCAAACCCCGACCTCAAGCTCTCACGTTGACGCAGTGGTCGAGCTTCAGTGCTGCAATGACCTCGCGGGTTAGATTGGCGAAACCCAGTTCGACAATATCAGGAATGCTTATGTTGTGCATCAAAAAGAAAAACAGTGAATCACCGTACTGCGGGAAGTCGAGGAGCGAGGCGGTCCGATAATGTTCTCTCCGACAGGGATTTGAAGGCAGTAAGGCGTTTGCTTCGTGCGATTATCTCGTACATATTTATGGAAGCAGCTATGCTTCCATCCCCCGAGGATGGACGGGTTAGAAAAGATCGGCTCTAAAAACCGCACACTGAGCCCCCAAAAGTTGATTGTGATCGTCGGCGCGTTATTCAGTACGGTCGAAATACTTAAAAACAAGACACCTAGTGTGTGTAGCTGCATTAGGGGTGAGACGGTACTGCCTTACCCCCTGCATCCACGGGCCATGGCCGGTTCCCTGCAGCTAAGGTCAGACTATCGAGCCACTAACCCCGCAAAGGACCCCCAAGAAACCCCTAACCACTGCCTCGCGGTTCACGCCTCCGAGTCAGAGAAAAGGGGTAGGGTCTCCGAACAAAACCCTACATCCTCCCACTGCATTGTGAGTCACACTTTCGAGTCAAAGGCTCAAGATGGAGTACCTCAACCATATCCCTCTTTCGGCTCGGACAAACGGGAAGTACCATTCGCCCTTGCAGCTCTTCGTTCACCGGCCTTTCGGTAGCCTCTCTCGACCCATCGAATGATGTAGTGCGATAAAACCATCTGCCAGTCTCATAACGATTGTCTCATGCCTAAACCAGAAAAATAAGTCAAAATAATCACTTGCTAACCTCAAGAGGCCTGATCTACGTTGAAGCCTTCAGTGTCCGTACCCTATGTCGAATTGGGTAACAGGCATCTCTTGCTGGTACCTTGTTCGCTCCATCTATCGATGTAGTTTGTATTTTCGAAACAAACGTGCAAGATGCCACTACGGTTGTGCACCTCAGGCTGACTAGGACGAACTCAGGCGTTCCGCATTTCACTCTTCGGGTATCTAGTGATCCTGACGCAATGCCTGGTGTTATCTACTATGTGGTAGTTGCACTCAGCCCCAAGACTGAAAGCGCCTCACTGGACTGGTTCCCAGTAAACAGTCGTCTTTGTGCTGCAAGGTTCTCTGGCTCAACTAAGATCAATGCAAATAGATGGGACAAACGGTGTTTATCGGTGGCATCAGCAGATGCCCCGACAGAGGCTGAGGAGGACGGGTTTAATCAATATGTCACGGCTGCTTCGGTCAGCAAGGACGGATATAATAATCCTGGCAGGTGATATAAATGCCCATGTCAGACTACTAAGCACAAGAAACAGTTGGGTGGCAGGTTTGGACAATGGATAGCTTCTGGTTCAGTTGTGTTGCTCGTCATTTATTCCTGGCCAGTACGAACGCTCATGGTGAGGTACTTGGAGGCCACCAACAGCAAGACAGTCATGGACCCAACTGGACCACGTGACTATCAGTTACCGATGGAGAGCGCCAATTGAAGACTATCGTTCGATCTTGGGGAACTCAGCCTGACTCTGATCATGCCATTGTGCGAACCCGGTCATCACTTCGCTTTCCGTCAGCACCACGTGTACCAAAACAGAGCAGTTCCATTAATCAGCTTCGGCAAGTTGCAGTAGATTAAGCGTATCGAGCTGAGCTGACTGAAAAGCTACTGCAAACGCAGTCATGCGAATGACAGTCATCGCTTTGAAATAAAATGGGAGTGAGTTAAGGAACTATACCACTAACTTCCAGAACCGTTTGTCCAAGCCATCCGACTCGACGTTTGCTCAGGCATTGCGCATGTGGACAATGTTGTTCATCTTGGTTAAGATCCTTTGAAAACGCAACCCATTTTAAGTAACCTAATAACTTTGCCGCATCGTTTAGCATGCACTTCACACTTGCGTAGTGTAAAGCACTGCTACAGGAATCGGTGGGGCAAAACCCAAACCTCATGCTCGCATACGAGCCAGTGGGAGTGGCACACAAATTTGTTTGCCTCATCTCAAATACATGCGATAAGCCAGCACCTAGTCCCTCCACAATCCGTTTTTGTTTCTCAAGTAGGCTTTAAATGACTGCATAAAATGTGGTTGTACGGCAGTGAAGGGCCATTGTGGACGATGACATCGCTGTTTGATGGACTGCTCATGGGGGCCTCCCTATTTAGCTTTTCATGAGAGCACAGGAAATGGTAAGGATAACAAAACCGATAAAGATCAGGGGACCTGGTTTTAGAATACCAATTGACGAACAGTGCTTTCGCGATCTTTTCTTCTGGTTGATGCACATCCAGGGAGTAAGCTAAAAGCGAGCGGTCCATACACGTAGAACGGGGAAAAAGCGGAATTGCGAGTATGTGAAAACCGCTTGTCACGAATCAGACTGAGTAACCAGTGGTCACATGAGCGGATCATGGAGGATTCAATGTACACAAGAACGCATTCAGCGCATCCTCTGGTTGCGTGGGCGAACCGTGATGGCCTCAACAGCGGCCAGTGATAATGAACGAATCCTGGCGGATGGACAGGCGCCAAGTAGTATTCAAAAAGCGGGAGTATAATTAATCACACTTGTACCGACCAAATGACCGACTACTGCGTTAGAGTAGACCTCGATCCAGTTGTCACCCAAAACGTGTTGCGCCCCGTTCCTTACATTAAATGTCATGTGCCTACCAGGCATTCAGCCGCACAACAGTAGGTGGGGGGGGTAGACCAGAGCGCACTAAATTAGGATCGGCAACTTGGCTCTGAGATGCAGAGGCCGAGCAACTGCACACCACAATGAATGAAGCGGCCCGGAATGTTTCCTGGAGGATGATGTAGACGTCGAACGTCCGCGGTCAGATCTGTTTTGAGAGGAAGGCCGATGAAGATGGGCACCTTTTAGCAGTGGCCAGTGCGGTTTCATTAGTTGTAGCAACCGTGTTTTGGGAGCATCTAGACCAACCATACGTGGACATATTCGCTATCACAGACAAATACAGGAGGTTTTAACGAAATTCGACCAGCCATATTGGGAAGCTTTCATCATTTCCTGGACGTTCAGTCGCTGAAAGCAATTGATGGCTCGGTTAAACGTTCGGTTTGCGGGAAGAGAAGTCGGATGGGGCAGTGCATTATGTTCAACAACTTTGCTACACTGAAACCCAGACGAAATACGGTTCCCAGCGTAACTAACAGGACTCGAGGTAGACCAGGGGTTAAGACGCGAAGGTCCTGTTTAAGCTTGGGCGAACTGCAAATATCGCAGCTTTTATGCCTCCTTCGGATGGGATGGCAGCCATGCACCGAAAGATTGTTACAGATAAACAATACATATTTCACCAGGGCGAGCGGAATCCGAAATTGAAGCCCAACTTCATTTGCTAAGATGTTTCATGAGATTTATCACCCGGACATTAAATATACGTACATCCCGCGAGTTTCAAAAGGTCTATACGTTGTTCATAACCATATTTTTATTCAGAGAACCACCCTAATCAAAAAGACCCATTCCCATATCGCTGTCACTTTCGCTTTCCTCGGCCGGAGGAGCAGCGGCTGGTGCAGCTTGCTTCTCTTGGACAGTAGAGGGAGTGCCAGACGCAGTCTGGGGTGTGGTAGCTGTGATAGCAGCCACGAATTTGGAGGGATCAGCCAAGTATTCTTTGACCTGAGAGAAAAACAAGGAGGAACGGCAATGTTATGCGAGATCTGATAGTCACTCAGTGAATAGTAAGCAGTGACTGGATTAATATCAATATATTTATCACCCCAGCCGCAACCACTCCCTGTGAGTATGCGTCACTCGACTGATCTTTACAGCAAGATTGCATACGCACAGGTCGCAGAAAAAAACGACTTCAAGTACTATGTTTTATCATTTTTCGATTCAAGGTTCCAACTTTGTTTTCACTATAGGGCTTTACTCATTGTACCCATTTCCTCATACTGTCGAGGATGATGAGGGCTGAGGAGTCATTCCTGAAGACCGGATCCTCTTTGAAATCTTCCACAAGAGAACCGAATGGGTGGATGAAGTGGACGAGGGCTCACGCCGTCGGTCGGAGGAGATAACATCGCTTGACTTATACGAGCCTTATGAGATTCGCTACTCCATGCCTCTGAGCCGCAATGCCTAACTTCCGATCATCAAACATGGAAATCCAAACAACGGTAATTCGTACTACCCTCATGCCATCACAAAGGCTTATAACGTAGCGTCTGCGGACTGCAACATAAACTCGTCACTCGACTTCACCCTCGAAATCTACTTACTCGTCCACCGTATGTCTAGTGAGGCTCTTTCGTTGACCGGGATGGTCGGTGCCCATTTGTCACCAACTATCGTCAGGAGTTCTCCTTCGGAAATCTCCAGTGTGTTCTGATACTTGAAACCTCCTGACAGATTCAACAACAACAGATTCAACAGATTCAACAACAACATTGTTCGAAACCGGGAAGCAGTTATTCCTAACAGGTTTAACCAAAGTTAGTAAAAAACAGCAGGCCATACATGCGTCGCTATCCTTCGACGGAATTGAAGATAGGTAGCTCAGTTAGCGAAACCAATATAGTAGTGTTGAGTTGTTATGACTTGATGCATGTACTTGGAATGTACCTACATTCCAAAACATTGCCAGTGCAACTTTGTATCGGTCCCTTGGCTTCCTGCCCACTATGGTATATCAAAAGGCACGGTAGCTCTACACAGCCCTATATGGAGACCAATCAGGGCGTGTTCGTTTGGTCCGTATCCTGCACGTGACACATCCGTCTAAATGATGTGATGTTCGGTTATTAGGGACGGCTGGCCTCCGGATAGGAGTGTGACTCGGTCCGTCAGTCACGACTCTAGTTCCTCCTCATTCCATCCCATACTTGACGAACCAGGAATTCCCAATCACGTTAGAAAAAAGCAGGTTTTTTCAAACTCTCGGTCGCAGTCCATTTTCTCCCTAGCTATGTATCCGTTTGCCGTCTTTCCGACCCAATTGTATTTGTCCATTGTTGTCTCGAAAATGTCCGCCACTTGTCTCCAGTATCCCGTTTTCCAGAATATCTGAGCCAGATTTGACTACCGCAACCTTGAGGACAACGCCCCCTTAAGTTGGCACCAACAGGGGGTTCAAGGACTACTGTACCACAGATGTCTGCTCACACGTCTGCTATTTCACTCTTTTGGGGAAATTGAGGTTATGCCGAATACACCGTAAAGGTCTGACCAATTGGCATGAGGAGTTCCATATCAAGCTTCTCTTGACCACTTGGAGCGGAAATTTCCTGGACAGTATTATCTCTCACTCAGAAAAGCGCACTGGATTTCACCAGGGATCTGATCTGTTCCAAAACCGTTTCTCCCATGGAGTCATCACCATATTAATCTTACCTTACTGCTCCTAGAGTTGCATTCCGATTCTATGACGGGGCACAAGCCATTACTGCACTACTTATGTCACCATCGTCGACTGGGACTTGTCGAACAGAGGAAGGTCTAACCCAACCAAGTTTTTCCAAGTGTTCGCTTCTCTTCGTAATTTCACTCCCGACTCAAATAAGTTAAAGAGACGTACTGTGTGCTCGACCAGCCGGTGCTAGCGAAGTTCTCATTATTTTTGGACGCCCATCTCCGTTGGTTCCTGTTAGGCGGCAATCCACACGGACCCCACTTTGCCGCTCAGTCAGGTGCTGCTACGTCCGAGAAACCTAGCCCACACAAGACCGGCTGAAATATCGGGACGCTTGCCGGTCCGGCACCAAGCCGAAATCTGATTGGTCGAAAATCTGGACTAAACAGCCAATTGGCCGAAAGCCGGTTGCCAATGGCGCGTCCAGAACGCATCCGAATTTCCAGAAAGTTGTTAACGCCTATGCTATATATATGAAGCACTGTGTTCCTGACTTCGTTTTACGGGTTAATATATGTAGTGCACCTATGGTGGTTGTTTTGACGTGAACGCTAGCTTGGGAGGCCTAGGCCGAGAACTAAGCTGGGAAAAATACCGTTACTACAGTTCCCCATTAACGAAGTCATTCTCCGATACACAAGAACTTTATACTATCTGTTCGGGGGCCAGCCGTCCCTAATAACCGAACATCACATCATTTGGACGCATGTGTCACGTGCAGGACACGGGCCAGACGTGGCCATGCCCTGATTGGTCAGAATGCCAGCCAATCCGAGTCAAGCACCTTGACTCGACGGTTCTCGCCCCCTCACGGACATTCTGGCACGACCTTGTGGAACACTCTGTGACTACCCTATATATATACAGTTGTAATGATCTTCCTTTGTCTCCATAAAGGGCTGTGTAGAGCTACCGTGCCTTTTGATATAACATAGTGGGCGGAGCAGGAAGCCAAGGGACCGATACAGAGTTGCACTACCGTACATCAAGATATAACACTATCCAAAACTCCTGCCCAATGGCACCACCGAACTATAACGCTCCCCATGGAGAGCTCAGACAACGGCCATGAACACTGGGCGCCATAAAAAGTGATAGATGAGAATGGACTATAGCCACAGTGCTATTAATCATGTGCATATCGAATGAAAGTTTGAAACAGCTGGTGCGAGTGAGCTTTTATGGTTCACCAATACCCAACACTAGTCTCAAGAACAAATCATATCCTGGCCTCAGTGGCAATCTATTCGGTAGCTTGTGTTTGCTTGCTAAACAGCGTTACATGGCCCGACGATTGTTACAGAGAATTGCCGGAAATTCTTTGTAAGGAAAGTATAGACATCGGATGACCAGAGTCAATCAGTGTATGCAGGTCACCAGGGCATCATCACACAGCACTATCCGAAACAGCAGTAGCAGCTGCAAAAATTTGTACGGGTATTGACTGTAGCCACTACAGTTTCAGTTTCGGTGACCTAGGAAACACAAGTACACATACTCACTGAGAGCAGCAGCTGATTACATGAAATGTAAATTAAGCAAGTGGCAGTGGGAGAATCGGGAGGGGAAGCTGTGCACTGAAATCAGAAGCTTGAATGCATACGCGCCACTGAGCGCGCAACAGTACCGTCCGCAAACACCTATAAGCACTGCCATGTCATGTTTCGGAGTTCCCACTTAAGCATGAGGTAATGACCAGCGTGAGTCTGCTTTGGTACTCACCTTCACAATGCGATTCCACATCATTCTTTCATTTCTCATGGCTCGTTCCCACCACTCGCATGGTTGTGCGGAGGGTCACCTCAAGGAAGTTAGCGTGAGTTGTAGTTTTACCGGGATAACCCGATTGAATTACCCAGCATTACTTATCGGTTCGAAGCTGTCACCGAAAGCGTTTACTACGAATTACCGCACCAAGTGTGCAAAACCAACTAAATCAAATCGACTAAAATGTCCACTGATCGATTAGCCTAGAATGTCACACTTATCATACGATAATAATTTGATCTTTCAAGTCTCTGATTTATGACTGTACTTCTGCAGTGTAGGTTCATTAATTTGCAACTGCAGCAGCCAGCTGCAACCGGCCGAAGGCATGGCCGGCCATCGAACACTGTGGTCTCAAAATAAATCGGAATGTTCAGTACAGGCAATATTGATCATCCCTAACCGGACGCATACTTCCGACTTAGATTGACAAGCACATTAAGATTAGTCGACACACTTCGTTGCTCTTGATTTTCAACATAATTAGCATTAGTCGGATATCCAGAAGTCTACTGGACGAATATTGAGAAACAATTTCGACGGTGTTTCGCACGGCGTAACAACACAAAGGATTTTTCCAGTAAACCTGGAAATCCATACCTGGAACCCAAGAATGAGGTTGGCTCGCTACCCGCGATAACTAACTTTTCGTGGTACATAGTACCTGAACCTCTTAGTATGAAACCTACGTCAAGTAACTATTCGGATGTATCTTGTCCATGTTCGGCTTCCTGAGCCGAGGGAAGACACCATGTCCTCGCGCCAGCTGGTTCAAAACCATGTAACGGTATATCTGATATCGGGTTGGTATCATAGTACACCCACCAGGACACTCAGTATCAAAGCGCGCCCGACCATACGGAAGGCGAACGACTCATAGGCAGTAGGGCACCAGACACGACGTAAGCAACAAGCTCGTCTAACCAAATACAAAATCTTTGGACACGGAATCCGGTCTGGATCTTGGTGACTTTTTCAGGAGATTTTCGGCCTTAACAGTTGCCACGCACAACAAACGCAGCCTTCAAACTGCCATGACAATATGAATAATCATCCAGCTGTAATACCCTTCAGGTGCCTAGTTGACATGCCATCTACAGCCGAACACTCGTCTTATAATAGTGCCATTGCGGAAACGCTGGCTATCAAGACCAGAAAACGCCTCATCTCTGCTACTGACAGAGGCAACATCTCAGTAACATGAAATACAGCAGTGATGCAGCCCGGAGCACAAAACCCGAGACTTAGGGATATACTGTCTTCCCCAGATCGGTGCCCCACATTAGCGAACATAATAATAATAATAATAATAATAATAATAATAATAATAATAATAATAACAATAATAATAATAATAATAACAGCAAACATGACCACAGCTACCGTGCAATCACCTCACCTGTCATAATACAGTCGAAACTAATTCAATAAATAAGGTACACAAAACGGCCCACAGAATCTATTATCTCTCCATGGACCGTTATAACCAAGTTCAGTGTCAACATGATCTAACACCGCATGGGGGCAAAGTACATGATAAAGAAAGGGATGACGCTGGTGCGTTCATTCAACGACACCCGAGTCGTTTTCTCCATCTGGAATACGAGAATGAGGTCATCTGCATATTGCAAATCGACAGGGCTTTCGTCAACACTTACCTGAACAGTGACATATGGAAGTTCTGGAATTACATATAGGAGCGTAATAGCAAGGATGTGGGCAGTCTCCTCATGCACACTGGGTGCAAAATCCTCTACTTGCGACGAACTTCACATGTACGACCCTGACACTGAATAAGACAGCTCCACCGAATAGTACAACAAACAGCACAACAAAAAGGAGACCTAACGCATACAAAACCTGGAGGGCGAATGAGCCGATAGAGTGCACCAAGATCAATATTTGCTGCACGACAAGCAGCTTGTCAGGTTAGGCTGAAAGTTTGACAATTTTTCCATCCAGCCGGTTGCTCGTTCGCCAGGTTCACCTTATCAATTGGTCGTTCGCTATAGTACCGACACACTCACTCTACACAGGGTGGACTTCTGATCAGGAGTCTACGCAGGTGTGCGTGTCCGGGACTTGGGTACGAGCACAAGATAACTCAGCGCAAACCTACTGACCGGAAGGTCCGTGGTTCGAATCCGGTCTTTGCATCTCAACTTCTGCCTAGTCTTGAGCAACCTGGCAGTATCTCGGCCCTCGAGGAGCATGGCAGCTAGGCACCGAAAAGGTGCCACAGCTGAAATATTCATTCATTCACAAATACGACTATTGGTTGGAATCTAGTCCAACAAAGCTCACTCAGCACGGGTTGAGCGTGATATAGCGACCACCAACCCTTCCACCAAAATCACAAAAAAAACCGAAGAATGAATGGTGAATTAGCTTAACTCATCTCAAACGGCTTGACACGAATAGCACGGGGGAAATCTAGTATGTGCTTCAGAGACAGCCCATTTCGAAAGAAAAGTTTCGGAAGGTGATGGTTGTCCGGATGCTTAAGAATACAAGAAATCTTTTGAAGGAACCGAGCTGTCATTTGTGTTCACTTAATTGGGATGCAGTATCTACGCAAAACAAAAAGCTGTTCGGTCGTGACATCCTTTACAATCAATCAATTTACCAGCTATAAGCTGTGTAGCATATGCACATTGGTTCAAGCTGCTGCAGTTTCAATCATCAGAAAGTGTGATAGTGCGGAAGACACGGTCAAGCCTTATGTTCAATCGGTTCGGAAATCGGGCAGCTACGCAGTGAAGACGATAGCTCTGATGCATGATCACCAATGACCACGCGGCTGGGCCATTTCCGCCAGTCTCATTAACCATCGGTGAGTTGAGTCATGGGACCACTATCCAGGGAGGCCGCAGTTGTCGACTGGACTAAGTTTACTGGTGAGTTTTTTATACTTCATTGCCAGGTCATACACTATCCATCTCTCGGTCGCTTCCACTTAGCAAGGGGCTGGGCGAAATGAGCTCTGCGAGGTAGATAGTCCTCTGGTGTACGAATTACATGTGCTAACCAGTGTAACCTATGAAGCATGAGTAATCCTGTTGGTGTGGAGAGTTCCTTCTTCCTAAAACCATCTGGAATACCTCGGTATTGATGATTCCTTTGTATAAAACAGCTACAAAACCTTTTTCCTACAGACAATTTCGTTTTCTGCACTTACTACTCCTATCTACTAAATACCACTGGCCCTCATCCGTTGTGACGACCTGACCTATCGTATGTACACCCACCGTTGATAAACGGGACTGAATTTAACATTCTCGCACATTGTGGTACCCAAAACTCTGTCCTACCATAGCCTAGCTGACAGTTAGGAAGAGATAGGTACGACGTTATGTATGCCACAATTCTTCAAATAAAATCGTCCAACAGAATTTGGAGAGGACAGGTTTCATACCCGTACAACAGAAAACTCGACCTTTAAACGGAAGGCACATATAGCACCATCACCGCAAGTGTTTGAGATTGGCAACGTCGCCCTCATTCCATCACGGCAAACATCCAAAGTACCTACACCTCCAACCCCCATGTAATCTGGATAGAAATTGACAAGAACACCACTGACATCGGTTAGCCGCCATATCGTGTCTCCAGCCAAGCCTAGGGAAGATTACGTGGAACACATGCTGGAAGGTAAACAGAACCACACCTTTTCATAATATCCTTCATTTCCCTCCACGATGTCAAACTCTATCTACCTCCAGATTTCTACCACTCCGAATAAGCAAGGAAAACGGTAGGCAATAACTTGGCATGCGCACGAATGACAAACTTCTCAGCTGGTATTGCTGGATGCTGAGTGAAGTACAATCTGATTCATCCAATTCCTGTCTCCTCATTATCCGGTTTCGGTTATGGAAGGTGTGGTTCCCTCCCAAGTAGCGGTTACATGGCCTCCTGGGCAGATGAAGCTTTTGACTGCTTCCAGTACGTCACCCTTTAAAGTGACATCAGACCTAAGCTCTCATTAATCCTACGGTCGTGTCCTTTACCTGGAGGTGCAGAACATGCATTATATAGTCCCATCTGTAGTATCATCATGATCGACAGCATGACATTAGTGTTCAACGCATTATATACATCTGTAGTATCATCATGATCGACAGCATGACATTAGTGTTCAACACCAATGCTTCACTGCCGTACAACCATGACTTATTTATTT